AATATTAAGTATAATGTATTATTATTTTATTAAGTACAAAATAATGTTAAGTGACATAAGTACACCTACATAAAATAAAGGGAAAGCTTATTACAAATCTATATTTATTTTATTAAAATAAAGATTATTTAAATAAAATACAATAGGTTTCATGGCAAGTATATATTATTATGATGTTTACATTGTTCTCATTTTCAAATACTTTAGTTCAAGTTCTATTCACACTATGTAACGTGTAACGATGAGAGGACAGTTAAAAGAATGCCTTAGTTAATGTCAGTCTTATATAATTTCACAAATCATAACGCAATTGAGTTTCTTTGTTCGAACCAATAGTGAGGCGCATCCGATTAAGTACAAATCGGCTGACATTCATGCAGGTTTCAATGACTAGACCCGAACATTAGCCGTGGGCTTAGATTAAAACAAAAAGGGAAGATACTGCATTAGCGTCTTGCAAGTGGGCCGCATAAATTAGGTGCGCCTGCACTAGTGTGCAACGGGAATTTAATTAAATAATTAAAATTAATCATATTTTTTACCATTGTTGCCACTCTTGGTGGGGACAACGGGAATAAAAAATAAATAAATGTAATTTAAATTCCCACCTGTGGGAACAACGGGAATAAACACGTAAGCGAAGTAGTTCGCTGTATACAATGGTAAAAAATATGATTAATTTTAATTATTTAATTAAATTCCCGTTGTCTCCACAAGCCCGTTGTGACTCGTCAACTATTAACCGCTAACTACTCTCGCACTAAACTTTCAGCTTTTCGCTCTATCTCGCTCACCGGTTCAATATAGTGCAGCAGGACCTAATTAGTTCATACTGTATCTTCCCTTTTTGTTTAAATCTAAGCCCGTAATTTTGTTCGATGCGCTCAGTTGGAATGCGATGCGTTTTTGTCTTGTATCATATGTTCCGCCTTATAAACTTTCCACGCGACGAGATAGTCGCGCATCATCTTGAATAGTGTGTAGTAGTTGATGAAGAGCAGTATGAGGATCGACATGAAGTTGTGCCAGGCCAGCGAACTGAATAGCAGGCATAGTTCCAGCACGATGAAGGCCAGCTGTAGGACTAGTAGCAGGCACAGCAGCGTAGACGGGTTTATGAACACAGACTGTAAACAAAGAAAACAGTAGGTTAATTTCCACAGCATGAAATCGGATTGGATGTTTTCATGGATAAATCAAACAATATACAGAATGTCCCAAAAATGCATTAACTGACACCTGTGGCAAGTGAACGGAATCTGACTGAGACGCATCCAAGAAGCTTAATATAACCATAGCACGATATTTCACGAGTTTTGAGATTATGACCAATTTTAGTTATTTTTGCGTGTGCGCGAGATTTAGCGGTGGCCTTTAGGCCTCAGCCTCGAGTTTAGCGGGCAGCGGGGCGGGAGCGGCGGCGGCAGGATCTTATGCGTAAAATCAAATAGACCGGTTCTCGAAAACAGCGGCGCGGGAGCGGACAACGAGCGGGCAGCGGCGCTTGAGCGGGCAACGAGCGGGCAGCGCACTCCTTCTTTTGCCCACAATAAATCGAGCGTTAGGAATAAATTTGAATCGAAATAAAATTGTCGCCGTTGTTCAAACATTTCGTTTGCGAATAAAAACAAATATCTCGACAACACAACCCCGAACACAACATTTCGCCGCTAAAGCGCCGCACGAGCTGCCCGCTTGTTTCGAGAACTGGTCTGCGTTGCCCGCCCCGCTCCCGCGCCGCCGCCGCTCCCGCCCCGCTGCCCGCTAAACTCGAGGCTGAGGCCTTAGGCCTATCTATTCACGGTGCAAATGTGCTATTTTTGAGACCCCCTGTATGTATATTTTCATAGCGTCCTTTCAAGTCAACCTCATTCAATCTGCTGCATACGAGTATGAAGTTGGGCTCATGGTGCCTTAATTTTTTTTATCTACGGTACATATTGGTAAAACGCTGTCTGTACTCTCTCATCTTGGCGCAAGTACACGCGGGAAATTGGCAGAGACGTAATAGTGTGAACACCATCACGGTTACTTTCTTCGAATGGGGGACCCATGCTTCGCCCTTATGATTCAACCACACCACGGTCGCGCGGACTGTCATGGGTCACGGGACCTGTCATTGGCCTATGATCGCGCCAGCGGCGATGGCGATCTGCACGCGTTGGTGTGGTTGAAACTTTCTCGTTCGTCAGAATGGCAGGTGTATGATCACAGAAATTAATAAAATAAATATGATTAATTATACTTCGGTGTGCGGTCTAGCGTTTCGTCTCGGTCAATTTTCCGCATGTGTACTGGCGCCACGTGGTAGTGCTAGTGTACTCACATAGAACCGCGTGTGTCCGCTGTTATTGGGCTGCGCAGCGACTGTAGGCGCGGCGGCGGCGTACGTGCGGCCCTGGAACGAGGCTAGTGCGCCCTGCGACCACAGCACGCTGCATATCCATGCATGCTACATTGTCTATGGTGTACTCACGTAGAATCGCATGTGTCCGCTGTTGGCCAATAACTATGTATTGGCTAATTACTGTAGCGATCACCCTACATTGTCTATGGTACTTACGTAGAAGCGCGCGTGTCCACAGCTCGCTGCAGGTCCATGCGTGCTACATTGTCTATGGTACTCACGTAGAAGCGCGCGCGTCCACAGCTCGCTGCAGGTCCATGCATGCTACATTGTCTATGGCATTGGTTCCCAAAGTCAGGGCGCGCCCCCCAGGGGTGGCGCAAAGACCTTTAAAGGGGGGCGCGGCTCAAATAAGTTTGGGAACCAATGGTCTATGGCAGCGGTTCCCGAATGGTGGTCCGCGGAACCCTGGGGTTCCGTGGAAAGGCCGCAAGGGTTCCGTAAAAAATATCATCCCACGTTTCGTGACCGACGTTGTTCGCTCGCACCGACTTGTTTACGCACAAGGGAGGGGCAGGGCGTGCGGGCGGAGTAGTACGGGGGTTCCGCTAGGAAAAGTATAATCATGTCGCTGCATGTCCATGCATGCTACATTGTCTATGGTACTTACGTAGAAGCGCGCGCGTCCACAGCTCGCTGCAGGTCCATGCTTGCTACATTGTCTATGGTGTACTTACGTAGAAGCGCGCGCGTCCACAGCATGCTGCAGGTCCATGCAGGCTACATTGTCTATGGTACTCACGTAGAAGCGCGCGCGTCCGCAGCACGCTGCAGGTCCATGCAGGCTACATTGTCTATGGTACTCACGTAGAAGCGCGTGTCCTCAGCTCGCTGCAGGTCCATGCACGCTACATTGTCTATGGTACTCACGTAGAATCGCGCGCGTCCACAGCACGCTGCAGGTCCATGCATGCTACATTGTCTATGGTACTCACGTAGAAGTGCGCGTCCACAGCACGCTACAGGTCCATGCATGCTACATTGTCTATGGTGTACTCACGTAGAAGGGCGTGTCCACAGCACGCTGCAGGTCCATGCGAGCTACATTGTCTATGGCATTAGTTCCCAAAGTCGGGGCGCGTCCCCCAGGGGAGGCGCAAAGACCTTTAAAGGGGGGCGCGGGCTATCTGTAAGGAACCTGCGACCGCTGAGAGAATGCATTCCAGACTGCTCGACACGACCAATAAATAATCTTGACTGGCGCGGAATTTTTTGTAAGGTCGAAAGGGGGCGCGGCTCAAATAAGTTTGGGAACCAATGGTCTATGGTGTACCAGGCCTGTTCATCTCCGCGAGTTTACATCGAAACCAAAACACGCACGATGGCCCACCTACAGGATACTATTCGACAAGGCCTCACATACGAGCGAACATTGACTCACGCACGCGTATTCTTGTGTATGATGGAAGAAAATAAAGAAAATGGTGTACTAAATACTGTGCAGTATTTAACTGCCTAAATAATAATAAAAACACAGAATGTACTTTTTTAAGTTGCCTCAAGACACTGAGAGTAAATAAGTAGTTAATATTATTCATGATAATTCATGCTAAATCATGTATTTCCTCCGCCATTTTCCGCAGTTTGGCACCTCACGTCACGTCATTTTACCGAAGTCAGCCCTATAGCTTCGGCGCAGTGCCGATCACTGACGTTTGTCAACAAAATGGTGCTTGACTCTTGAGACAGGCTAAATTACACCATATTGTTAATGACATTGAGCATACATTTTTTTAAATACCTTCGCGAAGTAAAACTTCTGTACGTAGTACTTATTATTATTCTGTGGGTGTACTTACGTAGAACCGCGCGTGTCCGCTGTTATTGGGCTGCGCAGCGACCGTGGGCGCGGCGGCGGCGTACGTGCGGCCCTGGAATGAGGCCAGTGCGCCCTGCGACCACAGCACGCTGCATATCCACAGGCCCACGTTAGGTTCTAAGGGAAAAACATTATTGTATAATAGGTATGTTTCCTGGGTCAAAAAGCAAGAGTTTCAATTAGTCTGTCAGTTAACTTATCAAAAAATACTCTACACGTATTTTTCAAACTAATGAAAATTGAAAGAGATAAAGCGCGCCAAAGTTCATAAGAAGAGGCCCGTGACGTCAATGGGTGCATAAAAGTGCCGTTGTGACGTCGTGCGGAACTTCAACGCACCATAACTATGTAATTATTTGTTAGATTGACAAATAAAAATATATGTGTCCAATATTTTTTGATATTAAACATGACGGACTAAAAATTTTTTTTTAGGAAACTAGCCTATTCGTGACATATCGTTCGTTCGTTCGTTTCAGCCGAAAGACCTCCACTGATGGACAAAGGATTTCCACGAAGACCGATCCTGCGCCGATCGCATCCAGGTACCTCCCGCGATCTTCACCAGATCGTCGGTCCACCTAGTGGGAAGCCTGCCCCCGCTACGTCTTCCGGCTCGCCTTTCTTGCCCCAGCGGCCATCAGCTCTACGAGCTATGTGCCCCGCCCACTGCCACTTGATTTTAGCGATTCTGCGGGCTATGTCAGTCACTCTGGTTCTCCTACGAATCTCCTCATTTCTGATTCGATCACGCAGGGAAACTCCGACCATAGCACGCTCCATCGCCCTTCGCATCGTGACATATAAATGTAGCCAAACACCCAGAAGGTGGGCCGACGACCTCATAAAAGTGCAGCAGCATGGCAAAAGTGCAAGCAGGAAGGCGTTGGATGCAGGCCGCTACCAACCGGGCGATGTGGAAGTCATTGGGGGAGGCCTATGTTCAGCAGTGGACGTCCTGTGGCTGAAATTATTTTATTAAGTACATAGTCAAAAAGCTCGCTACTTGCGAGCTTTTGCGAATCGCAACACGTTTTCGACAACCTTATTCAATTTGTAACAACAATCTTCTATCTATACATATATATAAAAGAAAGTCGTGTTAGTTACTCCACTTATAACTCAAGAACGGCTGAACCGATTTAGCTGAAAATTGTCAGGGAGGTAGTTTAGAGCCAGGAGAAGGACATAGGATACTTTTTATCCAGTTCGAAATTAAAAAAAAAATCTGCTTATTTATTGTCATTAAGGCGGAACAAAGTTCGCCGGGTCAGCTAGTTTGAAATAAGTTTGTGTTGTCAACTTTTTGACCCAACCTTTTGGTTTATTTCCGTTGACCCCACTGGTGGACATCGGAACAAAATTGTGTCGTTGAACAAAATTTTTTCACGAGCCTATTCAGGGTAAGTACCTAAGTAATTTTACCCCAAAAGGGTAACCTCTTTTTAAGGGTAACATTTCTTTTTTCTCTTTTCTCTTCATTGTTTTTATAATTGTGTTTTTATATTGCCTTTTTTTTTAAGTTGTCAAAAAAATAAAATTTCTTTCTTTCTTTCTAATTTATGACGTAACGCACCTATACTAGTACTGTGAAGGCGCCAGCTCCCAAGATGTATCGCAGAGCGGTGCAACACGTCGCAGTACGTCGCTGGTAGCAACTGGTGCGCGTAGCGGCCGAACAGACAGCCCCAAACGAACACTACTTGCTGCGACGCGCCGTACACGTCGTAGTAGAGATACGACTGGAAATAATAAGTAAACTTTTTTAATAAGATTGTGATTTAAATTTTAAATAATAGGGATTTTTCCTGGGTAAATAAGCAAGAGTTTGAATTAGTCCGTCCAGTTAACTTATCAAAAAATACTTGACACGTTTTTTTTTCACTTTTTCATAATAAAGAGATAACGCGCCGAAGTTCAAAAGAAGAGGCCCGTGACGTCGTGTGCTTAAATGTGTAGCACTTTGTGACGTTACGCGCAACTTCAACGCATCATAAACTTGTTTGAATAACAAATAAAAAAATATTTGTCCCATAATTTTTGATAAGTTGACGCACTAAAAATTTTTTTTTAGGAAACTAGCCTATTGTACTCTATGGTCATTATAGGCCGTTGGCGCGCCGAAGGATAACGCACGCTTAAATTAAGTACTTTTTTTGTGAAATCAACATTATATCAAATATTTGAAACAATTGAAATGTGATGTCACGAAACTAAGGACCCCCCCCCCCCCTTTTCCCCCTTTTTCGACCCCCCCCCCCCCTNACGTACTTTATGGATGACCCCTTAGTGCAGTATTTTGTTTAGAAACTTAGATTTATCACCTTTATTTAAAAAAACTGTCACTGACTGGTCTATACAGTACAGTAAAGAAAGGATTTTCTAAAGTATTGGAAAGTTGAAAAACAGACTACATAATGTATATATTTTTTATGACTACTGCTACATTGGTTGGCTACATGACCCTAACTGTATGTAGTGAGATAACAATATCTACTCGTAATTAAATACAAACCTCAAATGTGTTTTGTTATTTCCTGTTCAAATAGATAAAATAAATGGTTGATTGTAAATATTGTATTGTGGTCTAATAATTAACTTCACTAAATAAATAAATTGTTAGTCACATTCTGTCTCACATTGAATCCTCTTTGATTAAAAGAGACAGTGTGGCCTAGCAGCTTAGACAAAGTAACAGGTGTCGGCTTTAGTCGGCTGTTTGGTGTAGTGGTTCGAAACGGACTACTATTCCGGAGGTTGCGGGTTCGATTCCCGCACAGTACAAACATTTGTGTGCATGAACATATTTGTTTGTATTGGACTGGGTGTTTTCTATGTATAATAAGTATGTATTTACAAAAAAAGTATTTAAGTATCAGTAGCGGCGTAAGGGGGGGGCGGTGGGGGCGGTCCGCCCCGGGTGCCAAGCATCAGGGGGTGACACAAGTCACGAGATTAGTACTCACTAGCGCATCTGCATGTCAAGTCTGCGATCTATGTCATGATTATCGATTATCT